CGACACCATGGCGAGAGCGAGGGAAGACGTGGCGGTGCGGCCATCACACTGCATGGAGGGCGGCAGCGAAGAGTCCTGCTGCTGCCCTCATGAGTAGGGTCGGTAGCAGTGTTATCTGCGGGAGAAGCGGAGCGGCGTGGAAAACAATGGCCCACAGGCGCCTTCTGGGCGACGCGAGCAGCCCTGCGCTCGGCGCGAACTCGACGGGTGTCGGCCATGTGAGCGATGAAGCAAAGACGAAACAAAGCGGAAGGGAGAGCTTCGACACGCCCCTACCAGGCATGCCAAATGTTGGAATTTGGGCTCCGCGGACCCAAACTAGCTTCGAACTCTAGGGCGTGTATGAAGGATCTTGCTTCGTGATGTATCACTGCCCGTCGCCCTCAAGGCCTAATCTCGTCGAGTACGCGCAAGCGGGGAAAGAGATGAACACAGAGATTTACCCAGGTTTGGGCCACCTTGCGGTGTAATACCCTACTCCTGCTTTGTGATGGATTGCCTCGCGAGGAGAATGAGGATTAACTAGTACAGTGGGTGAGCTGCCTCAGGAGAGCTCAATAGACAAAGGATTCGATCCCTCTCTACGGTGGAGACTAGCCTATCTTTATAGTGGCTTGGTCCTCTTCCCTCATATCTTAGGTGGGAAGGGAACCCACAACGACCCGTTTTGAAAGGGATCAAGAGTGCATCTTATCCTGGCGAAAGGTGGTCTTTTCCTGCAAAGCTTCTAGTCATGACACAGTGGTGGGCTCGATGATGACATTCATCCTGTCGAGCTCGTGGTCTTGGTCTTGTTGCACTGGAGTGGGAACCTTTGGGGGGGTCCCTTGGGAACCCGCGTACGTCCTTGCCTCCTTAGCACAAAAGAGGAAACTGTCCTGGACTGCGCCCGCCTGGCCTTCGTCATCATGGCTCACGACATCGCGAGCCTTGTGAGTCGAGGTACTAGCATAGTGATCTCCGCTCCTCGGTAGGCAGGATCGGGGGGCTGTCTCTCGGGAGGTCTTGGTGTCGTTCGCCTCGCGAGGCGAGGGAGGGGGCTCGCGAGGGTCTTTCCCTCGAGGTCTTGGAGCTGGGCCGTACTGGGCCGCCGATGGTGCCATGCGCTCGGCCGCAGGCAAGCAGGTCTGGGTACCCCTGATCCCAGAACACCGACAACCTTGCTGCAATTTTGTTTACTTTTATTTATTTTGTGTTCAATCTATCTATCTACTACTGCAAAATTTGATCTTGCAAATAACCACTGAGGGATTGACAACCCCTTGTTCGCGTTGGGTGCAAGTATCTGTTATTTTGTGTGCAGTACTGCTAACAAGGTGTTGCGTGATTCTCCAACTAGATTGATAACCTTGTTCTTAACCGAGGGAAATACTTATCTCTACTGTACTCCATCATCCCCTCCTCTTCGGGGAAATCCCAACGCAACTCACAAGTAGCAGAGGTCGGCGGCTAGGTTTAGAGGGTTTTTTGAGAATTTTGAGAGTTTAGACACCGTGTTGTGTCTCGTGGATGGCACCGTCATATATCTAGATCTAATAAAGTTGCGTGAAGGCTCTTGTGTGAATCATGAATTATCAGGCTGGGGGTGGGAGGCGTGTTGATCATCATCATGTTGCGGCAATCCGTTTCTTGTCTTGAGGCTGCTTTCGTCACATGATTGGAAGATTTGTTGTCCGGTGATTCACCGTGAAATATTGAGCCAAAACCTACGAAACATCTATTTGATCCTTATCATTACACCTACATCACTTGTTATCAAATCTTTGAAAGTGAAATAGCAAACAAAACACAAAGCACAATTATTGTTGCCATCAACACCAGCAACATTTCCCTACGTAAACCTAAAAGCGCACCCGCTTGTTGCTTGGTCATGCTACCTGCAATCCCTATGCCTACAGTATTGTCTGCAAGCCTAGCCCTTTCATCCATTCTAGCTTCAATGCCTCTAGTATTGCCTACAAGCATAGGCCTTTCATACTTTCCACCAGCAATGCCTATGTTGACGACAAACCTGAGCACTTTCATTTGTTGCTCGAATAAGCTCTTCCCTTCTATCCTCTTCATCTCTACTACGTCATCTCCAACGAGGGACAACTTACCAGCAAGATAACCCACGTAATCCAACTCCCAATGCCAGAAATCACAAGTATCCTAATAACCAAATAGACCAAAAAAGTGTCAAATTTGCTACAGACCATGAACCAAAATCTAACAAAATTTACAACATTGGTCGCCGACCACTTACACCGTGATGAATGCATTTGTAAAAGACCCAACCTTCAGGGTTCTCTGTGTTCGAGACATATAATTTCACCCGAGCGCGGCATTGAGGGCATTTGATGAGTGGCACCACCACAGCCTACTGTCGTGAGCTGATCGGATTGAGCTTGTCGACATGGCGCGGATGGACACGGAGGAGGACGATGGCATGCATGAACGCGGTGGCGGATGGTGGGCAGATGACGGAAGGGGATTAGGTTTTTATGGGTGTCATGGAGTTAGGGATTTTTTT